AGACCGTATAGCTCCTTTTAATGAGGTAAATTGTTTGTTTTTGTGTTAATAACATTGTTTTTCATTTAAATGTAACTGGCAGTGATAGTGGCAGCCATGTTGCCACTGTTTGTTTGACACTTTGAGTTTTTACCAAAGGGGCAGATTTTGTAGCTGGCTGAAATTCTTACTAGCTAATAATAATGGTTTGTACGGTATGATGTGAGTGTGGCATTAGACACAGATGCACTGTCAAATCCTAATCCAGTGTAAACATCAAGTATGTCATTGCAGCTACATAGCATGCATGGCAAACAATTGTTTTAATGTAGCTGTACAACAAGGGTTTCACTGTCATCTAACCCTGCCTTTTGCATTCACTTCCACGGAATGAGACGGACTGAAGTTAGCAAGGGGAAAGATTTACATGTTTGTGACTTTAAGTACTGTCAGGACAGTTCTTCACCTGAACAGTGTTTACAGGTGGTAAAGTGGTTATTACGGTAATTATTAGACATGAACCCAGCTAAAGGTATGCTGTGACAGTAGCAGAACTCATTTCAAAATTGTATTTATTTGTGAATCTGTCCACCGGTTTGTCTCTCCGTGCAGCTTTTACACTTAACACTTTTTATTGTGGCCTTTTCCTCTCTGTCCCTTTTTTATAATGCTCTTTGATCAAAACCTTTGAGAAAGTGATGTTATTGAATGCTGGGGAAATAAGTGCAGCCCATGCTGAAATGATGAGTTACTCGCTGTACAGCAGCACCATGTTTTTAGCCTTTCAACTTTTATGTAAAAGTAGTTGAGGCCAGTGGAATAAAAGCTTGCCTGGAAGCAGGACAGGACTTCAGCTGTAGCAGTAGGTTTGCCGATAATGGGCCAAGTTCAAGATGAGGTCTGATTTCAGTGGAATTTTTACACTGTATTAGTACTAAAATGTTTTATTTTACTTCAGTTTCAGTCTAATAATACTGATATCAGCCTTGGGAAAAATCCATACAGCTGGATAAGTGAAATGCATAACTTGGTTTAGTAGAATCATGCATTCCTACACATTAGGACTCCTTGCACTACAATAGATCTAATTTTCCAAAGGAGGAAATATAAACCATGTAATGCAAAGATCTGGCACGTTGTGTTAACTGATATTTGACTGTGTGCTACAGGTGGAGGTGTTGTACGGAGATGAGCCCTTGAAGGACTACTACACACTAATGGATATCGCCTACTTCTATGAGTGGAGACGGGTGAGTGACAGCTTTGATACTTCATACTGTGGACGACAAATATTTAAAAACCTGAACTGGATCACTCTTGTCTTTCTTGTAGTTTTTTGTTGTTACAGTCAAATGGGATGAGTAATTGGTCTTCAGGTTGGCTTGAAATGAGAAAAGTACCAATGCTTTAAATCATAGTGTCTGTTAAAGATTTGAACCAGAGGGAGTCAGTTCTTCCAGGATTTCACTGGCTTTTTTGGGGAATGTTGCGGCCTAAAATACCTGATTTCACGGCAGCTTTTCTAAAAGAAATTGTTATACATGTTCAATGTTTTTAGGCATTTATTTTGCAATGAAAATGCTGGAGAAAGTGAAAATTGCAAAAAAATAATTAACTATTATAGCTATTATTTTGTATAATTCATAAAAAATTCAAGGCAACTTGTTCCAGTGAGAATAAAACCATGAGAATAAAATTGGACAGGGTAAATGTGAGACATTCGTGTGACCCATGTCTGCATCTTTACAACCAGAAACAAGGAGGTGAGTTTGGTGATGTATGGCTCAATTGTTTTCTTGGGGAAACTACAATGGTTGGTGAAATTTGCAGAAAGGTTGCGGTGATTGGACAGAATTGCAAGGTTGTGCAGAATTCACAGGGATTGGTTGATTGTTGCAATCACAGCTTCCTGGAGGGAATGCTCAGTAATGAAGCTACATGATGTTCAGAAGTTCGTTAACCTTTAGGGTTTAGGGAGGTCGTCTGCTTTGTGCAGTTATGTTCAGGTGTTTGGATTCTGATAAACAAAGTCGCCTCAGGACACTACCATCACTCCAAGATCCAGTGGACTTCACAGAAAACCTAGAACTGGCCAGTTGTTTGTGGGCTGTCTGCAGAAACAGAAGAAGCACTGTGATCTCCTGGATTTTCCCCTCTTTGCAGTGTTTCCAGGACTAACATACTACAAATCACTTGAGATCACTGCTGACACTTCTCTTGCTCATGCTTTTATGTTTTCAGATTGATTACATAACAAAGAGCCAATAAGAGCTCATAATCTATCTATCTACTAATCTATTCCTGTTAACATTTGGATGGCTGCTACTCCAGCTTTAATGTTTGGTACATTCAAATGTTTGTAGGAAACTGAGTCAGCAGCCAAATAGTAACTTTTTTTTGTGCATGAAATGATCAAAGTCCCATGATCCCTAGTTTTTTGTCAATGTCGGATTGTAGTTTGTCTTGTGAGGTTGATTTTCTCACAATGTAGCTTCTCAGTGTTTGTCTAGATTTTAAACTAGTCCCTGCTCTCATCTGTACAGCAACGTGACAATAACGCAGCTGTCATTAAAAGATGAAAATAAAGCTGACTCAGAGTTTCCCACATAAACTAAAACCAATGACTGACTGATGTTTTTGGAGGGAGCGCCTCTAAAACACAATTTGTATCAACGGAAAGCAATAAGTATAGTCCTTCATCATGCTGACACTGTGGAAAACATGTTTACATAATGCCACAGTCATTTTAACTTGTTGCTGCTGTTTTTGTTTATTTTTGTTTTGGTTGTATGTTTATAGTTCATGTTGCTGCTGCATTAGTGAAACATGCCAACAAAAATCAATAGTATCATCTTATTGAGTATGTTGCTCATTGAGAGTCTATATTCATGTGGTTGGCCATTTGCTATAAACTCCCTTTTCATATGGACGCACTCACAGCTGAGTTGGGATATTTGAGATGGTTTAACTGAGATTGATATTATAAAAATTGACATGAAATGAGCAGTTCCTCCTAATATCAGTATCCTTTTTGTCAATTATCGTCAGGTAACAAACATTGTTATATTTAAGGATGGGGCTGGCGATCTTCTCTTCTCTCCATCCTACCCTTTCTTTGGCTCTCAGCCCAGGCTTATTCATTCCTACTAAAGATGTGATTCTTTAAAAACTGGTAACAAAACAGCTGTGGGAACTGTAGTGACAGCAGCAGGACAGTGTATTTGGGAATAAGTCTAAATAAGTGTGTGTGTGTGTGTAGGTGTGTGTGTGTATGATAATGAAGGAATATGTCACCCAGTGCAATAGTGTGGCTCATTCCTGTGTTTTTAAAGTTTTTGGACAACAATGGGACACAGATAATACTTAATAGGATCTATTTAGTGATGGGTCTGGTCTTTTCGCTGGATTTGTTGACAATTTTTCACCAGCCTTATCATTAAACCATTAAGTTCTGTCTATAAATGTGCCCACATATTGGTGAATTATAAAACCTGAGCTCTTATCCACAGTCCTAACAATGTGTGTTCCTCTGTGCAGACTGGACCCATCCCTTTGCAGTATCTGGTCAAACCCACCCGGAAGCGCAGGAGGCCGTCCCAGTCTGCCGCCCAGGGCCACTCCGACGGCGTCAACACCAGTCCGACGTCAGAGAGCGACTCCCAGAGTGACAAAGTCCACAGTCCCGCCACAGCCCAGCCACCCCGAGCCTCCTCGCAGTCCAGCCCTGCGTCCCACGACCTCTCTCCCGCCATCCAAAGCTCCAACGGTACCACTGTGCCCAACAACACTCAGCGACACACTCTCGTCTCCAAACAGGGCGCCAACGCTCGGAAGGTGACTGTCAACGGCACGAGCTCTGGGGCCGGCAAAGAGGAGGCGAGGGGAGCCGACAAAAGCGCTTTGCCTCCGACAACCTAACGTGCATACGGGGGCAGCGGGGAGGACAGTACTGGAATTGCTCCCTTCTTTCTTTCTACAGAGTAAAAAGACGAGCTCAAGCCTTCTTCCTCCTGGACAAACCGGAGGAAGATTACGGTTATCATCTTTCAGCAGGAAAGACTGAAAAGTGCAGCCAAATAGACACTTGTATGTATGTGCGTGTGTGTGTGTGTGTTTGTGTGTTAGACTAGAACAGTGCACACATACAAACTGTACAGTATGTATCAAATGTGAGCATGTGTGCATACATATGTATAAACTTATCTTTTATACAAGATATTGTAATCGTTTTGTATTGTATATGCAGTGGGTCTGTTTCATTTCCATAGTTCCATCAGCGTTCATTTGGCTCCATTAAACTTGAGACAAAATGCTGAGAGGCATTGCAGTGCACATCGCTGCAGGAGTTGGATGTAAAGAAGAAAAAAAGCTAATCCTCGCCTTTGAACAGTCATGTTAATAACTGCTGTATAAGTGTCCAGTATAGGCAACCGCTCATCAGGTAACACAGGTACATTACATTTAACTGTTGATGCACTTTGTTGAGGTCAAATCACACAATCCAAACCGACAAGTATTTTCCGACAGGAGAAGCATTTATATTTACAGAATACCAAGCACTACCATGCTCGCAAGCAGATGTTTGTCAGCAGACCACGTTCTCTCTCCCATGGCAGTCGAAGAACTCAAAAGGGATTTGAATATTTGGCCATGTATGTTGTTGTTCCATATTTTCAACATTCCTTTTGTTTCTTTTCAACAAACAATGATACTTTTTTTATCAGCCATATGTGCATGTTTTAGGTCAATAAAATGTTTACTTACTAGGTTTTTCTGACCTGAGTGTCCTGTTTATGATTCCCTGAACGTAGCAGATTGTGAAGCATGCTTTTGTGCACATAGCACAAATGGAGAGGTAAAAAGCTAAATGCATAAGTCACCTGGTAGAGCTGGTGCCCCATGTACCAAGGTCCTTAAAGCAGCGGCCTGTTGCCCTTTGCTGCGTGCACTCCCCTATCTCTCTCTTTCTCTCACTCTTCAGCTGTCACTATCTATCCATGGTACAGACAAGAATCAGGCAGTTACAGATTAAAACTTTAATCAGTTTAATAATTACAGGTACATAATGTAATGTCAACAGCTCTTTTTCAGTGCAGTTTCCTACAGTGAGCTACAGCACAGTGTTAAGATAACTCATCAAGTTTCTGTCAAAAGCATAAATACATCCGCAAAAGTTAAAAAATAATGTGGCATTTTATATGTGGAGAGGAGGATTCATGTCCCTCACAGATATGCTACTTTACGGAGTGAGCTGTAGGAGACTGCACTATTACATCCTCCCTTCATACACTTCACAGTCCAAGACCTATACACAGACAATATTCTCCTGTAAAACCATTCTCTAGATCTTTAGTATTGAAGATAATACTGTTATATCCCATCTTTAACATCCTTTTCTAGGGACAGTGTGGTGGTAAAATCTCCACCCTCAGACGGGATATCATATCATTCAACCCTGTTTCCCTGATAAACGACAGAAAGCAAGGGCTTTTCATAGCCACTCTCTTCTCTGTCAAGCACAGAGAAATACTGATAAGAGACAAGAATGAGACACTTGAAATGGTCAGTTTACATGTGCTGCTTTCACTGAGTGCAAAAATGTGCATGCAACAGCAACATGAATGTTGAGTTCAAAGACCTCTCTGCATTCCTTTTCAAGAATCGGTTTGCTCATGTAGCGGGGCAGATACGACAAAGTCCTGCTTGTGCGTGCCGTCACAGTAAGGTGGATTGTTTGTGTACTTGCAACCACACAACCAAGCCGTGGCGTCTTTCTCTGGGACAAAGCGTAGCGGGGACAGGCCTTGGGCTTTGGTTTTGTGGGCTCCGTCGCAGAAAGGCTGAAAGATAAACATGTGATCAGGGCATATACAGGACGCGTACTTTAGACAGGAGTGATACAGATGATGTCAAGCAGTGGTTTTACCTGTTTCTTGCTGTGTCCACAGGTGCACCATGCGTAACGCTTTCCACCGACCAGCTCCACTTTGAAAGGCTTCTTAGAGGGGATGACAGGTTCTGGAGGAAGGGTGGAGAGCTGGACCTGTGGACAGAAGCACATAAGAGAACTCAGCTAAAGGTCCAGTGTGTAGGATTTAGTGGCATCTAGCGGTGAAGTTGCAGATTGCTACTAATTGAGCATGTGTATCTGGCCACGAAACTTGTGAGAAGATAACACCTGGCCCATGGCGTCTATAGTTAAAAAGAGCTCATTATAAGGTAATCAAAGCATGACAATTCATATATTCAACTCACACCAAAACAATCCAGATTGTTAAAATAAAAGCACTACGGGTAAGAGGAACAATATTTATGTTTTGATTTTGGGGTGAACTGTCCCTTTAAAGCCTCTCCAATACCCATGGTACACCACAGGTGTTTTCACTTCTGCCCGATCAGACCTCCTCTCTAAACTCTGTGGCTGTGTGCAGACTGACTTCTCCCTGACTCTCAGTCAGTTCTGTTAGACCGGTTAAACAGTATTTTAAGAATGGCCTCTCAACCCACCCAGGTGTGTTAAAGCCATTTTGCTCCAGCCTCTTTTTACACTCAATATGGGTTGGGCGCTGCTGGAGATTTCCTACTGTATTTTCAGGAGTCAGAGCTGTAGGTATCTGTGCTGAAGTGTGTTAGCGCTAACATAAGCGGTGTCCATAAGGCCCAGACAGTCCTGAGGGAAGGTCTCATCAGGCTGGGATTAAAAACAGCTGTGTCTGTGCAGGGGCTCTGGTGCTTCACAGCAGGTGGTACTACTATTCATAGCTTCTTTATATGCTATAGGCTGCTGTCAGAGGGATTTGATGTGGCGGTCGTGTTTAGAAAATAACGGACGGCACAGTATTTCCGTCTAAAAAGTGTCGTGGTGGAAATGAGGTCTCAAAAGTGCACTGAAGTCTACAACATTGTCCAAATAATACTCAGTCGGTCGACAAATAGAGGAAAGTCTACCCTGTTTAAAGGAGGCAGGGGCTCATATAAGGGCTTAATTTACCTTGGAAGCTGCCATAGAGGTTATCCAAGGTTGTCTCAAGGTGAAACTGATCCATTTGAGGTCTACTTTGGTCCCCAACGTGTTCATGTTTGTTTCCAGTGACGGTTCAACTTCAGAGCAACCTCAGCTGGCTGCTGTCCAAGTCGCGCGCCGGTGAAACAACCGTGAACGTGACTCAAAGCCCCAATGACGTCACAGCTACGGAAACTATAAAAGGTCAAACAGAGGAAGAAAAATAAATCACACACCCCGAGAAATAGTGCAAGGTTTCACAACCCGACAGCTGACCAAGGAGATTATAGAAATCACTTCCTGGATGGTCACGTGTTAGAAGCTGACCCAATCAGGAGGCTGCTATCGACCAGGCCACAGATTGAATTGAAGTGATGTTCAATGTCCAAACAATAAATAAATAACAGTAGGATAATTCAGCATTCAAGACCCAACTGCTACTGAGCTCATGTCCTCTGTTCTTTCTGGGAATTTGGGACCTGTAGTGCAGTTTACCTCTTATACAAAAGGGGATACCAATATTTTTAACACAAATTAAGACTCTATAGACCTTTTTCACAGCAGCCATTTTGACATAAAGCAGTAGGGTAAACAAGTGTTACCAACTGTTCCATTCAGGTGAAACATTATTATTATTATTATTAACTATTGTGCATGTTGGCTTACTGGAATGGAACACAACAATAATTAGAACCATTGCACCTGTGTTTATCCTATTGTAATATGTCTCAATGGCTGTTGTGAAAAAGGGCTATTACAATACAAATGGATACATTTCTGCAGCGGCTCCAGGGTCCGAGTCCGACCTGTGGCCCTTTGCTGCATGTCATCCCTTTCTCTTCCCCCACCCCCCTTTCCTGACACTCCTCAGCTGTCACTACCAATTAAAGGAAAAAATCTACATAAAAAAAAAAAAAAATCTACATAAAACGTCAGTTCTCATTGCTCAGCTTTGGCAACAAGCAGCTTTGACTTGGACACAACAAAATGTGTTTTTCAAGCATTTTTAATGGGTAATGCAAACACTGGTTACAAAAACATATATACTTGTCATTGTTTTCTGTTGTGTATTTAAGGTAACTGGTCCTTGGCCTCCCAGTGCAGACATCTTGAATACTGTTCATTTAAAGATGCCTTTCACCGACTTTACTAAATCCCGGAATATGACCTTAAAGTGCGAGCCGTCACAGTATGGCGCATTTTTGGTTTCCTTACAGGCACACAGCATGACCATCCTGTCTTTGTCAGGGGTGAAACGTAGAGGAGAGATGCTCGGAGCTTTTGTCCTGTGAGCTCCGTCACAGTAAGGCTGAGAGAGAGGGAGAAAAAAGGTGTGAGGACACAGACTTCATTTTTTTGTTTAGATGTTTTTTTTTTTTTTACACCTGATGCCAGATTGGTGTTTTAGTATTTTAATGTCAATTTAGCATATTTCTTGACTACTTTTTGGATTATTCTGACTTAATTTTATATCCCCAACAGCAAATGCATTATTTATTTGAATAAACTGGACTGGATTGTATAAAAACTGATCTTATTTCTTAGATTTCCTGCCTGTGTACTCAAATAAGTACACAAATAGTTCAGACACGGGTTGAAAACATTATATTTACACCCAATAGTTTTAATAGCATAGCCCATATTGTAGAAAGTGAGATTTCTATGTCTTTTTTGATTATAAAGCAGGTCTAGGTGCAATATAAATACAGTGGAAGTATCGAAACGATCCATCAGGAACAACCGTCTAGGTGGGCTACAATCTGTTACCTGTGGTTGGCCTGACTGTGTGTCAGTCAGAAAACAAGTAGCCAATCAGAAGATTGGCTCATTAATATTAATGAGACAAAATGCAACACAAAACACCCGTTCTCTAGAGCTCTGGAGAGAAGTGTGAGAGAGGAGATGTAAAACTATATTAGATACTTAAAGGTACTTAAAACCATAAATATATCTTCACATAAAACACCAGAAAAGTGTACGAGACCTTTAAATTCAATGATTTTTACTCCTTTATCACAGCAGACATTTTACCCATAGCAACAAAAGCACAAGTGTATATAGGCTACACTATTTTAGGGCTGCAACTAACAATCATTTTAATTAGCGATTAATCCATTGATCAATTTCTTAATTAATCAATTAGCTGATTGGTCCATAAAATGATTTCACAAAATTTGTAAAAAATGTTTATCAGTGTTTCTCAAAGCCAAAGTTTACATCCTCATATGTTTTTTCCACAGCCCAAAGATATTCAGTTGACTGTTGTAGAGGACTGAAGAAACCAGAAAATACTGGTATACATCTGAGAAGCTGAAATCAGAGAATTTGGATATTTTCTCTTAAAAAAAAAAAAAAAGACTTAAAATGATTACTCAACTATCAAAATAGTTGGCATTGAATTTAATATTCGATAACTAATTGAGTTATCGACTAATTGTTGATGTGTCTGTTTCAGGGCGCTACTTTACTGTGCATGCTGCCTCACTACCATTACATACTGTGAATAGTGTTGTTCCTGCTATGGCAAGTCAAAAATCTGTCGTGAAAAAAGGCATTAACAACCCTATTGTCTGTCAGGGTTGATCGCATGTGTTATGTTAACCTACAGGATCTCTGGGCAATGAAGTCAAATGGTCATTCATATCCAGTCTGTTATCTGTTGCTATCAAAGTTCAAAGTGGCCTGGTGAAGGTTTAGTAACAGTCTGGCCCTCTCCTTTATATTACTGAGATCTCTGCACACGTATAACAGTTTGATGACCTAAAGCCTCCAACCCTCACCTTAGTTTGTGCACGCTCTTCACTGGCTGAGGAAATTCAAGTCTCCGCCAGCAGAGTGCCTCTCAGACAGCAGCTGACTGGCATCCTGCTTTCAGTCCCCGGGCCCTCTGAGAGGCGAACCCCAACACGCCACACACACTCACCTGTTTCTTACTGTGTCCACAGGCACACCAGGCATAGCGTTTCCCAGCAGACACCTTCACTCTGTAGGGCATCCGGGCCGCAGGGACAGTCTCCGTGGACTGCCGGCAGCACTGAACCTGCAGACAGAGTGAGCTGTATGTGACACAGAGCAGCAGCAGGTATATACTCCAGGGTTTCTGCAGGTCTCAACAGGTTACATTTAAGACTTTTAAAGACCTTTTTAAGACAATTGTGAATGCATTTTAAGACTTTTTTTTTAATGTCCATACTGGCAAAAACAGTACGAAAGATACGAAAAAAAATCTGTATTAGTTTTGTAGTTTGGAGAAGAAGAAAAAAAACACATTTAAAAGTGAGAATGAAAAATTCAACTTTATACACGTAGTGACTTCTTGTGACATCAAAGTGAATAGACGTACTTACAACACGACAGAAACATAAAACAGTTACACAACAGTCTGAAAGTTTTAATTAGTAGGGTTAGTATTAATCCAATCAAGACCTGTCAAATTCATATCTGATACATTTTAAGACCCTGCGGACACCCAGGGTTGTGAGCAGAATTATGCTTTTAGAAGACACAATGTATGGAGGGTAAAATACCCAGCAGGCTCCTGATTCACTGATACAAAACATTTACATTTGATGTGAACAAGAAGGCATTTTACACCAGCCGACCACATTATAGATCCTTTCTGACAGATATATCCATATACCTGAATGAGCAGAGAACCATATGAAGCCACGTAAACGAGGCCTACAGCCGTCCTCTGTGGCCCGCAGGCTCATTACCTAAACACATCAGTGGCAAAGGTGAATGAAGGAAGGTGTGTCAGATTTAGTGTTTGCATTACACAGAAAGTATACATTGTAGGCTTTTTGCCATGACTCAGCACTCTGAAACACTCCTTACAATGGCGGGACGTCTGTAAAGGTAACATTAAAACGACCCACTAACATAAACAATAAGACTTTTAGTGGCAGATGTTCAGTGCAATGTTTGGGCTCACCATAGAGGAGGAAACAGGCAGAGCCAGCAGAGGTCGTCTGGAGGTCTGTGTGCATCCTCTCCGCACTGCGACTAGGAAGCCGGCTGTGTTCATTGTGTCTCAAGTTCAAGTCCAAGTCAAGTCGCTATGTGGTTACTTTGTCGGGAGGGAATCCCTAGCTGTCTTCAGTCAGCTGCCTCAGGAAACTTGGACGGGCTCCACTTGGGCGGACTCTAGTAAAACTTCTAACATGGCCGCCCTTTGAGACACAGCACAGGTGATTGGTTTACGACTGTAAACAAGCTCCAGCTGAAGCCACTCCTTCGTCATTTGTTTGTCCCACCGCCCCTCCTCTTCCTCCTCTTCCTCCTCAGCCCGCTGTAAAACCCACCGTAAGAGAGCAGGAAGAACCTCCTATAAAGGCTCTTTGTAAGAGTTTATACGATGTAACTAATTGTTTTATTTATGGTTCATAAATCATTTATTGGTGCTTTATAGGCCAGTAAAAGGTCATTAATGAAAACACATGTTCGGTTTCTATTTAGGGAAATCAAACCATAAGCCATTCATAAAGGGTATTTTATTTTAAAGTTTGGGTCTGCTAAACACCAGCTAGAGGTCCCTTTCATAACTGATAACACAGAAGCTCTTCTTATTAATGGTACTAATGGATACATAGCATCAATACATTATTTTTTAAGTGTTGGGTCTGATTACTTACATACTGATACTACAAATAGGCCTACTTGAGTTCTATAAATATATTATTGTGTTCTCTTTAAAGGGCTCAACACATTTTCAATGCAGATAAATTAATTGAACTTTCCATCTTGACGTCTTTCCTCCTGTCCGTCCGCCACAAAGTGGAGCCCTTGTCTAAGAAACCCTGTGTGTCAGACTGCTTTTCATGGGGTAATAGAGCATTGGTTAGCATGGAACTGTTACAATTTTATTTTAAAAATTTCGTATTTAAAAGAATAAAAAATCTTTGATTATTGACCTTATCTAATTATTTTTCAAATGTAATCAGGGATGATAATAGTAATTTATATTGGTAATATGATTACAAAATCCTGATTACATTTAATAAGTTACAACCCAACACTGTTGGTTAACTATTAACAAAGCTCTTAGCTGGTGCTTACAAAGTCTTGACAATAAACATCCTGTTAGAGGGTGTGTATACCCTTTGGGCCTGCTTCAAGCTCACTTACACCAGCTGTTAGAAAATAATTGTAATATTGCTGACTCAGTCGGATTAACAAAACTGTAAACAAACAGCTAGGATATACTAGAATCATTAGTTTATATATTCAGAATATTGTAATATGATAATTAGGATAATATTGGGACATGTGGGAACCATTTTTAAATTAAATATTGCTTAGACATAAATGCGGCCAGACATTTTGACATTGTAGGCTAATGTATACATGTTTTTCTTTGTAATTAAACTAGGTTTGACATCCCACATTCAGGTACCCAAACACTAGTCCCAATGGTGCACCAAGAACAGCACATGGCAACAGAAATCCAATAAACACTGCAGCTCATTTTCACTCTGACAGAATCCTAATATCTAATTATGGAATATTTCTTTCTAATATTAGTTACTGTGAAGTTCAATGTATTTTAATTTAATTCATTTCCACTTCCCTCTCTTCCAAGTACATGGGCCACCAACAGATAAATCAACACCCAAAAGAAAATGTAACAACTCAGTAAAATACATTTATTGACAAAAAAAGTTGTCTTAATCCGTCCTTTTAATTTTACACACAAAAATATCAAAATACTTTACAGGGCTTTTAATCTGAATATTGTCAAATTCGTTTCAATCAATTCTCTCAAACAAATACACTGTACAATGACAAACATGCTTGTCCTTTTTAAAATTCAGTGCTCTTTTCATTTAATTTCTTTTTTTCAGGGAACAATGCATTTAAAATTATGCATAGTTATTACTTGGTATTTAGCAATACATTTGAGAGACGTCACTGCATTTCATGCAATTCATATCCCAATGGGTAACTCGCTCTCCATCAGACCTCATCCAGAGCCAAGTGCTTAAATGTTGTAATACATAAAAGATACACAGTACGACATTCAGAACATGGATTATCTTGGTTACCCAAACTTCAAAGCTTAAAAGAATGAATGTGTTTTTACACAAACATATTAAAGTATACAACTTGTATTCCAACAAAATTGAAAAGGTACTAAAAAACGATTTACAATTGGGCCCAAAGCGCCCCAGTGCAACATGAGAAAGAAACCGCTTCAGAAATCCTTCGCACTCTTCAGTCAATCTCTTGGACATGGTTGTGTGTCTGGACTTACATAATAAAGACATACTTGGTAGATTGCAGACCTCCCACTTGGAGTCATGTCAGCGCGTTGGCTCATGTCTTTATCAACATAATCAACATTCTCCTTCTGTCATTGCTACAGTATTTATCACCAACTAGTGAGCTGCTTGAAGTTCCTTTCTGACCTCTACATTATAGCTGCTAATAAAACGACCTAGCACTCAAGGTATCACATGTATGGGAGATCATGTTCAAGATTGCAAACAGAAATATTTGAAAAGTCCTATGATAATATTGTTAAAGAACACAGGAGAAAACATGGTGAAATAATCACTTACTTTATGAGTGGCCTTTGTTAGTAAAACTGAGGCATCGTATTATAGAGTGGAGTGGAAGGAAAGAGACGCCTATCAAAGTCACTACGTTGGCTTGCGGGCCTGCAGTAAAGGTCAACAGTAACAACATTGGCAATTCACCTCTGCTCAGCTGATAACAGCTACATGTATCATACACTGCTGCCACGGCACTTTAATAATAGTTAACATCTTGTCCGTACACAGCAGGCGTCTCCTATGACGCCGCTGTGCAAGCTTTACGGTCAGATTCTCAATAAGTCCTTGTTTCTCAGTTCTCTGAAGCACAAACAACTAAAGAACATTGCATCTGAACACAAAAATTACAATAGAAAATGATTTGACACTTCAGTTACCACTATACGGTTATTCACACATTTCAACTCTTGAAATCATCAGTCAGCTATCAAAAGTATAAATGGGTTTAAGAAGAGTGCTTTCGCTTTACTAATGTACCACTCCAGGTACCCCAGATAAAAAAACAAATCAAAGAAAGACGACAAGAGGGTAAGCCTTTGGGCTGTGGTTTTCTCTGTATATATAACATCATTAAGGCATTATCTATCCAGTATTGCTAAAAGAACAACTAGTTGGTGAACATGAAAAGAATATCTGTATATGAAAGGAACACAAAAAACGGACACTTAAGGAAGAATAGGAGTGCAAAATACTCACATAAATCAAAACCTGTCAGTCCCTAGTGGCCTAGTAAGTACCAAGCATCCTTTATAAGGTACTGTGTTTAATGGCTAATTTGCTCTGTTAGCTACTAACATGCAAAGTGCACACTTGTTTAGGAAAAACAATTAATTTCTTACTTACAACTTCCAAATGTTTGGTTTCGTCTGCTTAATCTCGATAGCAACTGGAAGGATATAAAAGTCTTTACAAACTCTTGTGGTGATTTGGAATAAAATCTGGTGCTCGACGTTCATGTTGGTGCCAGTCTCTAGTGGACGCCATTTTGGACACGTGGGTTCTGTGCCTTTTTTTTTTTTTTTAAATTTACATACCTTAGAGTTAACACCAAGATTTTTTGGTGGGCATTTATATCCAGTGAAGGCTATTGCGGCAATGAGTCAGCACAAAACTTCAACAATGGAAAGTAGGTGGCAGAAAGATCTGAGGTAATAACTAGCTTAATATTGAAATGCCACTAACCGCACATCAAAAATGACAGTATATTTACCCATTACATAATAAGTGCATGTGAGAAGATGCAACATATAGAAGATCTGGATGAAATGTGGGTGGGGTGAACACAAAGGGAAGACAAAATATCGAGGAAGACAGTTGAGGTTGCAAGAAGTGGCAGAAATCTGTGATTCTCACTGACCGAATGGAAACTCAAATCATGATTGGTCAGTGCTTGAGAAGTCAGAGACGCTCCGACTTTGAGTTCACACTTCGATCCAAAAGCCTTACACAGCACCTGCAGGGACGAGCAGGAACTCTGCCTTCATAAGCAGCCCCATTGGTCTAGCTAACAAATTAGTGCAATTTAACAAGAGACCATCGTATTCATGCTCTCTGAAAGCTGCCTATACAAAAACCTACGAGAAGAACCTCTGATATAAAGAATTCCAAAACACGAAAAACTTCACCTTGACGTTTAAGTCCATCCTGTTATACATTCATAAAAGAGGGTGTAAGATAAAGATGACAGAGAAGGAAAGACGTTCAAAAGTCATGTAAGTTGACCTCAGTTCTTCAAGTGGGCTGTGACGCCCCGTATCTTCGTGTGAGCTGCTCCTGTGAAATCGAGAAACGTCACCCGTTCTTGTCTCCACCTTTCTCTCCTGCAGTCTGAAAACACATGCACACAATGTTTCTTACATTTCTAAAACTGGAAACATCACAACATATACAATCATAATGAGAAACCGATAAAACAGACAGAAGATCTGAAGTTTAAAACCTACTTTGAGTAGGCAAAGTCTAGACTTGATGCAAGTGATTTTCCTGCTGGTTATGTTGGAGTATTGCAGTTTGGGTTGCATATGTGCCTAAGCCTGTGGTGAATCATGGGTCTCTATGTATAGTTAAAAGTAAGGGGTGTGGGTGCCCGGTTATCTCAGTGGGTA